GACTGCAACGGTCAATATATATTATAATTAGTACTGTCTTATGTTTTTGAATTGGAAAGGTTCGCCTATTTATCAAGGAACAGCCTTGAGCTATTTCAGAAATGCAAAGAGCACATTGCTAATGGCGATATTGTGAAATGGAGTTAATTTGAGAATGTCGGAATAAATTAACTTCTAACTGAGAAAGAGAGGAGCCTTTTCAAAGTGTTCTTATTCTCATATTCCTTTTTACTCGCGCGGTGTTTCTTCACCCAGCATTATTCTATTCGCCATTAATCCTTATAGTCGCCAGTGGCACATTCTAGTTTCTTAGTAAATATTCAAAGTAACTGTATTTGAGTTATCATTTAAATTAGTGTTGCGTGGGACATCTGCTATCTCTGCCAGTAGGGTTTGAGTGGAAAGAGTAAAATGATAGAATAAGGGCAAGTACACACCATTGACTGAACTTGAGCTTTGGAAGACGTTATGTCAGTACAGTAAAACTTGTCTTAGTGAACACCTCTCTAGTGAACACCTGCCTCTAGTGGACACCCTTCCTCCACACATACTCTACTGATTTTGTACCCTATATATACCGAACACCTTCCAACACTGAAATTGGTTCTTCATATTAAAAGGGCAGTACAGTAAAACCTGTCTTAGAGAACACCTCTCTCTAGTGAACATCTGCCTCTAGTGGCCACCCTTCCTCCACACATACACGACTGACTTCCGTATAAATTGCTCTCCCTCTAGTGAACACCTACCAACACTGAATATTTTTCATTGCATTAAATGTTCAATATACACAGGTTTTGCTATATAAGGGAATGTAGTAAACATGACTGTAAACGGCAAATTAAAGGTGAAGAATAGATTAACATTCTGATACTCAGACCATCTCTGCTTTGCAAAGAATCGTGATGAGATATCATTAATCAACAAAATTTCACTCAATGATTGATTGCGTAATAAAATATTTAGATCTGTAAATCATGTAAGATTTACATGATATTAATAATTTTAAGTTATTTTACGATCATTGTATTTCCTACTTATGATAACAACTTATCTTGTCTCAAGACCATCTCGGGTTCTGAACGTAGAGATGGTCTTTGTACTAGTTAAAATGACAACCTGTGATATTTCTGGTATTAAAGAGATCCGTGTGATATTTTCCCTTAATCAGGCGAATGATATATAAAAAACGAATTTGAATTTCGAGACAAAAACTAGTAGATATTTTTGAAAAGTAGTAAGCCAACCCCCAATCCAATCCATATACAAGTTTCTATATCCATTTTCAACCATATTAGACTTGTCAGTATTAACTAACTTATTGTTTCAACATATTAGATCAAAACATTCCAGACAATGGGTTATATTAATAGTATCCGGCTGATAATAAATAGGTATTCGATTCCAATCACCGGTGACAGGCAATGTACTTCTGTCGCAAATAGATTGCCATAGAGACCCGGGTCTAGAGACCATATTCTGAATCGATCAACACAATACATACATGTGAGGTGAAAATTATTGTACCCGGGGGACAGGTTTTGTCCACAAGCGACAACTTCAGAAATTAAAATGAACGGCTGGATCGGATTGCTTAAAGCTAAAACCCAGATTATGTTATTGTGTGGTTGCCATGGTTGTGGATGTCAAAAGACAACACCTTCACAATCGGATCGTATATTTTATAGCTATTGTATAGTACATCTTTTCAAAAGAAGCTAAAAAGTATCAAGCTGATTCCATTATCTTCCAATATTGAAAAATGCAGATAAAACTGAAGAAGGCGCCTCAAAATGATTTCAGAACTATATTATCAAATATTTTATTCAATCGCAAGGAGGATTGGCTCCCAGAATGCAACACCGATATTCTGCAAAACAATCACCTAGCGATAGCTTTGTTGGAGAGTATCGGGTCATTCTCCATGCAGTCGTACAAATTATACAGACACGAATAGCAAATGACGCATGCATGGAGATTAAAGAATATCGAGTTGGAACCCTGGCTTCCAATCCTCCTTGATTCAATCGTAAACAAATCGAGACAAGTCAATGCCTTTGCAAACAGTAATAACGCAAAAAGTATTCTATATCGGAAACTTTTTATAAAATGTAGTGATATTTCAGTCATATTTTGTCATTCTCTTTGATAAAAAACATTTATCGGATTTAAAAAATTGTATCTCGTGAATATGAAAAACAAGACATAGAACAAAATCAAAACTTGGCTGTTAGGCCATGGGAGTACATTCAGAAATCACTCAAATGCATGTACGTACTATATTCTTCAAAGGACTTCATTTATGCTTAAATTCAGGAAAGAAGTGAAACACCCTTGGACCAAGATGAACAATACACTTTTGTAGGTGGATGTTCATACAGGGTGACAAAAAAACTGGAACCCACTTAAGTATTAATGACTTCGTCAATTATGCATATTGAGCTTAGTTAATTGGTACATGTATAGTCAACTGAATGTACGACAAGATGATAAAGTTTTAGCATTCTAGCTCAATTAGTCTCCAAATGAGGCACTATTAGATAATGTGCTCCAAATGTGCACCACGACGTTGGATGCAGAGCTGGATTCTTCTTGCAATATGATCAATGACCCGACTGCATTCATCTCTGTCTATCTCTCTAATTAGTCTTTCAATGTTGAGTTCGAGGTCATCAATGGTCAGTGGACTATCTGTATACACATTATCCTAGAGATACCCCCACAGATAAAAATGTGGGGGGTTCAAATCAGGGGAGTGGGGGCCAGATGTGTCGGGTATGGTGACTGATTAATCGATCACCAAAGTGAGCCTGAAGCCAGCGAATGGACTCATTTGAGGTATGGGGAGTGGCATCATCTTGTTGGAACCATTGCTGGTCCCTTCTCAAGTCACGTCGTCTACCCAGTGCTCCCCAAAACTTTTGAACGTTAGGGATGTAACGTTCTGAGTTGACTGTTGAGTTGTCTTGAGTTCTGACAGACCTCTCTCCCCGCATAGGTTGGTTTACCATCACTTTTCTTCTTCAAAAGTTGGTTTTACAGTTCCTTCTGAATCAAACTTCTGTACAAGCCTAAAGATCTGTGATTTGCAAGGGGCTCTTCTTGCCCTGTGATCTCTCCTAGGCAGTTTGTGTCTCTTTATAGGATTTTGTCTCGATATACTTTCTCAAAATATAAGTCTTTCTTCTGTCATCCATAGCATGATTAATATCTAAGCTACAGTACTCATTATGGTGTCATTTTGTCATGCATTCAGTCTAGTTTCTACCCTGAAGAAATAAGGAATGTAGGTATAATACTTTTCGAGAAATTTGATGATTTATGGGTTCCAGTTTTTTTGTCAACCTGTACCATGCATGATGACGCTAAACGGCATACGTATTTTCCATGAACTAACACGTTTGGGGCGTTCTATTTAAACAAAATACGATTGTTTCAGAAAACAGAGAATTCTTAGAGAACATTGATCATGTTTAAATATCAGAGTTCGAAGGAATGGTCAGTTTAAATTTTTGCTACACGATGGGACATTACTAGGCACTTTACTATTGACTTTTTTTAGAATATTTCAATCATGTAAAAACAGCGAGACCGCCTTATACCAATTCCAAAGAAATTCATCCCATCTCGATAAGGCTTATGAGCAATTAAACTATTTTACTTTACATTCGTCTGATACCCAATGAGGACAACAATTCCTTGTGGACAAAAGCAACTGTCACAATTTATTTGAAAATACTTACGGCATATTGTTTATCATATACAGACCTCAAAGCATACATGTAACAACGTCATATTCGTTTTGGCAAAAATTATAGTTATACTGACAGTACATACACAATGCTTGTAGATATTCCCCATCATGATAAACCATGTCATCTCATTTCTTCTCAGCCTTGAGATGTCTCAGGTGAAACAAAAAGATGCTATGAGGATCAGAATGGATATACCTTGTAATGCTAATTCTATTTGATACAGAGATAATAAGGACGTATTCATTGATTAGCTAATTCTATTCCACTGGCAATGATGTCCATTTTCTCACTTATAACACTAGCTCAGATTATAAGAATCTCATTAGCTTTGTACAATTTTTTATAAAATGTTGAGCAATAAAGCTAAGTAACAATCTGTCATAGATTTTCTGAGAACATATATCTTTAATATCTGGGATGTTATTGTTTCGTTTCTAATGTCAAAAGCCCTTGAAGCTACACTTAGTGACAGAATAAACTGCCATAATAGCAGTAATAATACGAATTCTCCAGAGATAGACCCTGAGACTCCATCCCTTGTAATTAGTCTCTGAGGAAGCAGAATCAAAGAATTGGAAAAGGGTTGAGAGATGAAACCGAGGAATACAGTTTAGAGAGGCTAAAGAGTTTAACCTAAGTCACGGTTGATCTACGGCAACCATACGGGGGCCGTAGCTTCACAGAATCGATATAGAAAATATACATCGTACTGCGTTTCTCTTATATTCCAATATCTCGATTTTGGGAGGCTACGGTTGCCGTAGATCAAATGTGACTGAAAACGTTGAACTAAGCATTTTGTGAAAATTGAATTTGAGACAGTTGTCATTGGACTCAAGATGATTTAAGTGCACGCTAAATGTAAGTATTTGACACACTTGTTATTGAAGCATACCATGATGTGACCACAGTCTCTTGTTTTTTAAACTTTACACGGGGTCTTTAAATGCAAATATTATAAATCCATCATCATTGTTGCCTACTCATCACGAATTCTTTGTGAAATGTATAAGCTTGGAATTGTTAGAAAATATACAAGGCAAAGTATTGGCGGCTCGTAGTTTCTGTATTATTTTGAAAGGTTACTCGCTATCTACAATTCTTCCTTTCACATATTGTTTATAGCCAAAATATTATTTTGCGATTATGGATGTTGTTTGTGCTATTACCCCATAATCAAAAGCACTGTCATCTTTATTTTTGTTGTGAGACGCGTAGTCCTTTTGCGCCCCGATAGACTATAGCTATGAATAACAAGCACGGCCACATTGGCTGAATTAGGCGTGAGGTCTCAGTCCGTTTGAAGAGAAGATGATGGAATAAGGCATTTTTAAGGTCCATCGTCGCCCCAAGATTATCATTCTGCCAGTTGTTCAACATTCATACAATATGTATCCACAAACATTACGACGGCCGGGTCATTTTGGAACTCTCTTTACTTTCGATTTGCTTAGACGCGAGTCTGTCATGGTCCCGGGGTCATAGTTCACCCTTAGAAATGGTCCCGGTAAGTGACGATTGTACAAAAGATAGATATTTTGTATATTGTCGTAAAGAATGCAGCTTGGTCAACTATACACTAGTCGAGGCTAGATGTTGGGTTTCATGACTGCTGTCATCCGATTCGCTATCGTCAAAGTGGACATGGTCTTCGACGTCTTCTCCCTCAGACTCATGTGACTCAATGTCTGTTTTCTCAGGCTTTCTAAAATTGAGATAGAACATTGTTACCATCACCCCGACGCATATAGTAGAAATCACGCCTATAAAAGGCAAAACGTAGTTCCAAGGGGGTGTCGCGTCCGCCTGGTCGTTTTTTGTCGAATTAAACAGAGGGTTGAGCGTCTCATTCGTGTCCATTATACCTTTAATATATACACCTGCATATAAGTAATGACAATGATGAATCTTATTTCAAATATTTATTCCTAGGTGTGTATGTATCGTCCATATGTGAACAGATGCATCCTGGATGAGTTACATAAGTATTTATATATTGATGTAAGCGCACTTGATCTTATTTCCTGTGTTTTGATTATCTCGATAATTGATTCCATTTAGTTGAATATACGGGCGATCGTATATTAAACGAGGCTCTTTGTATCCATCATACTGCAAACAGAATGATGTTTATATGTCAGTAGTTTTGTATTATATCTGTTACGAAAGATTCACGTTTTTCTATTATCTTTACAAATTCATTAATAGTTGATCTGTAAGCACAGTGAACGGTTTAATCCTATTTTACAAATGCTTTTTGTTTACTACAATTTGCAACTCACACTTACATTTGTACGTGTGAAGGGAACCATTCCAGTAGTTGAGATTACCAATTAAATGAAAATTCTTGTCCCTTGTTATCTGAAGAAGTCTCTAATTCATACTTTGACATTTATACAGATTTGCCTCTCATGATCAACACTTCGGGACATTGCAAAATCCTAATTAGACCCCAGAAGGCCCTATGACATATTGTCTGTTCCGCAGAATCAATAGTCGCCGCCGAGGGAGTGGAATAGATTGTTATCCGATGAAACAATAACGAATCATTTGTGAAGAAAATGAATTTTCAATTACTTTGCGCAGCCATGCCTTTTAGCAGATCCAAGTAGCCTCTACAGAAATTTTTTATCGCGTCTCTCAAAAAATTCTTTTTCCAACAGATTTATTTACAGGATGTTTATTATTTAAGGAATAAAGACCGAGATTTTATGATTTATGGCGTAATACTATGAACAAAGATTTTATTCTGTTCATTGTTAAAAGACCGAAATCGCGTAGCGATTGAGGTCTTTGGCAATGGCCAGAATAAGATTTGAGGTCATATATTTGACATAAATCATAAAATCTCGGTCTTTGTTACGATTCTAATATGATAAACAGACAAGAAACACAACTATTTGCATTTAAGAATTTTAGTGGTCAAACATACTCCAATAAAGACCAATAAATCAATTGTTCTAGCCGCGCAATTCGTGATGACGTATTCACACATAGCAAGGCAAGTAGTGTCCGATTCCAGCCAATCCGAACAGAGTATTCACATAATGAACGGTGTGTGAAATATCAATAGTACATGCAAGGTCGCTTTAAACAGTTAAACAGTTGTCATGGTGATTAATGATTTTTCACATTGGATTTGATGACTTGCCAACTTGACCGTTGCACCCAGGCGTTGTTTCCTAACTTTGCATTCCCGCTGCACGGTCGTGCAAAGGTTTGGAAACAACATCTTCATGGTATGATTCAGCAAACAATGCTTTGAGTATTGGGTTTAATTCATTTAATCAAAACGCTTCATGTTAATCATTTTACGGAAATAATAAACATAAGTGAATTGCAAAATCTCTCTATTAACTTAAGAAGGAACTTATGTTGTGCTGCACAACGATTTCTTCAATAGTCCCTTGTAATTCAGGGTCTTGTTGGTAAGTGCAGGCCTATTGTCGCATCTGACAACCATTTTTGTTAAAGGTGCAATGTTCCAAGTAAGCTGCAGTGCAGTGTTTACAAACTAGACATATTTCGAATTCCCCGAGGAGTTCTTGATAACCACAGTTTTGTTGACTTGACTTTTCTTGGCTTGCTCTATTGACTAGAGTATTTTTGGCCTGATCTATTAACTTGAGTATTCTTGGCTTGCTCTATTCTTGATTTGCTCTATTGACTTGAACTCTGTGCGGTTTGCGACAATGTCTTTCATACAGAAAGACAGAGTAGCATGTGATTTTTGGGTTCACCCTGTATTTTCACAACCTGATCATTTATAACGTATCGCCTACATGGGATTCGTATATAATAACGCCACCTGAGTTCTTGTCCAGGGTTCTTATATATTCTTATGCGTTGTCAGGTTCCTAATGAACCTATAAATCAGATTCAATATGTGTCTACATTGAGTATGTTAATTATGCTGGGAAGTTTGAATCCGTGATTGGTAAAATAAAGAAAATATTTCGGGTTCGGGCCAGAGGAATATTTTTGATATTTGTTAGAGTTTGCAGTCATGTATAAATATAGAAAAATGGCAAAGGTACGTACACTCCACCCTCTAAACTCTAATTAATTGAATGCCACTGGGACCGGTCAAAGTGTTCGGATTGGCAGGTGTTAACAGGAAAGTCTATCCGTATGGTAGTGAAAGGTACAGGTATATATTCAGAGTAGAGAAGTGTTCAGATATACATGTTTTATTGTACATAGCAGGGTTTAAGCTTGCAATGTTTTTCACAACCTAAACATGAACGGAAAATATTAAAGCGATGCATTTGTATTGGCGATTGGTCATACGTGGTAGGTTAGCGTTTCGATTTTATATGCAAGCTTTAACTCCCTGTTAATTATTGAACCTTTCCAGAATGCGTTGTTTGGTGATTGGTGCATGTTTTCCATTCCATGGGCAAAGCCAACCATGAATTAGGCCTTGTCATTTTTTTTAGCTCACATGGTGAGCTTTTGCAATCACTCACTTGTCCGTCTGTCTGTCCGTCTGTCCGTCCGTCCGTCAACAATAGTGGCACGTTTTAAAACCTCTGTCGATAGGATTCCTGTTTTAAGTTATTTCTGTTCAACATCAATACAGAAAACTAAACTCCCCTATGACTCCTGGTTCAAAAGCTCGCCTATTTTCAAAATGGCCGCCATTTTTGTCTCACGAAATTAGTTTTGCCCCATTTCCTAGCTTTACAAATAATTTCAGGTGTCCTACATTGTAAAAATCCATGTCAATGTAAAGAGTAGATATATGAAATAATTTTGTTACAAAAAATCAGCAAAAAATTATCTCCATTTTTTTATTTTCAGCCATTTTATTTAACATTGATTTGTCCATCTGACTCGCGAAATCCACTTTTCCGTCAACAACAGTGGCACGTTTTAAAACCTCTGTCGATAGGATTCCTGTTTTAAGTTATTTCTGTTCAACATCAATACAAAAAACTCCCCTATGACTCCTGGTTCAAAAGCTCGCCTATTTTCAAAATGGCCGCCATTTTTGTCTCGTGAAATTCACTTTTGACCCATTTCCTAGCTTTACAAATAAATTCAAGTGTCCTACATTGTAAAAATCCATGTCAATGTAAAGAGTAGATATATGAAATAATTTTGTTACAAAAATTCAGCAAAAAATTATCTCAATTTTTTTATTTTCAGCCATTTTATTTAACATTGATTTGTCCATCTGACTCGCGAAATCCACTTTTCCGTCAACAACAGTGGCACGTTTTAAAACCTCTGTCGATAGGATTCCTGTTTTAAGTTATTTCTGTTCAACATCAATACAAAAAACTCCCCTATGACTCCTGGTTCAAAAGCTCGCCTATTTTCAAAATGGCCGCCATTTTTGTCTCGTGAAATTCACTTTTGACCCATTTCCTAGCTTTACAAATAAATTCAAGTGTCCTACATTGTAAAAATCCATGTCAATGTAAAGAGTAGATGTATCAAATAATTTTGTTACGAAAAATCAGCAAAAGATTATATCCATTTTTTTTCAGCCATTTTAGTTAACATCAACATCAACATCGCAAAATCAACTTTTGGACCATTTGCCTTAGGATAGGATTTCCGTTTTCAGTTAATTTTGTTCAACATCAATACAAAAAACTCTCCTATGACTCTTGGTTCAAAAGCTCGCCTATTTTCAAAATAGTCGCCATTCTTGTCTCGCGAAATTCACTTTTGGCCCATTTCCTAGCTTTACAAATAATTTCAGCTGTCCTGCATTGTAAAAAGCCATGCCACTGTATGTAAAGAGTAGTTGTATGAAATAATTTTGTTACAAAAAATCGACAAAATATTATATCAATTTTTTTATTTTCAGCCATTTTAGTTAACATTGATTTGTCCATCTGTCTCGCGAAATCCTCTTTTGGACCATTTGCCTTAAAACCTCTGTCGATAGGATTCTAGTTTCAAGTCATTTTTGTTCAACTTCAATACAAAAAACTCCCCTATGACTCCTGGTTCAAAAGCTTGCCTATTTTCAAAATGGTTACCATTTTTGTCTCGCGAAATTCAATTTTGGCCCACTTCCTAGCTTTTCAAAAAATTTCAGGTGTCCTGCATTGCAAAAAGCCATGTCACTGTAAAGAGTAGTTGTATGAAATAATTTTGTTACAAATAATTGGCGACGTTTTTTTATTTTCTGTCATTTTAGCCATCTTTCACTTTTGAGCAACACCATGTGAGCCCAGTACCCACGGTACTAATTTTTTTAAATCAATAGAGTTTCATACGAAAAACTAAAATTGAAGTCTAATGTGGTATTACGTTGCTTTAACTCAATTTTTGACTCACAATATTTACAATTCTGGCTATGCCTCTGTATTTCAGTGTTTTCCAATGGCTTAGACTGTACACACCATGGTGACATCTATCATTCAAAATATTTTCAACTACATTATAAAATGTCTACTTTGTTCTAATAGAGTCTGCTAAGAAAAAGTGTAAAGGATAGGTATCGATATGTTGTACTGAATTAAACAATGTTTTTTTCTTAAACCAATTTATGAAATCATTCTGTAGAAAATACGGTCCTTTATGAAATGTTGACTGATTGACAACAATTTAATGCGAAAATTATTTATTTATATAACTGTTTTTGTTAACATTTTTTTTTAGTACAGTTGTTTTTGTTCCTTTCTACCAATTCTTGAGAATGAAATAAGTCTTTCCGAACCTCGTTGGAACAAAATAGCATATATACAAAAGATTTCCCGACCACTCAATATTAAAGTTATACAAAGGAAATTTGGGTTGATTTTAGAAAAGGTACTCAAAAATTTAAAACAAAACCACCCCCCCCCCCCAAAATAGATAAAAATTAAGATAAACCTTTTATATTATTAACAAGATAAAATCAACCAAAATTTCCTTTGCACAATTACAATATTGAGAGACCCAAACACGTTGTGTTTATGTCGTTCTGTTCCAATGTGGTTCGGAAAGATGTTTCATTTCATTACGAAGATATGATACCAAGAACAAAAGATGTGTCTGGTGTGTTTTCCAAAACAATATAGGGAAAGGTTTATATATATCTTTCAAATTATAATGTTACCATCCAAAAGACGACCATTGAAAGATGTGTAAAGTTTTTAGAATTCTTTGATGACTGGTTTGAGAAACGCGTGTTCAAAAAGTTCACCATATCGATACCAACCCTTTGTTACAGCGCCGACCTGTCGCAAAAAACGAAACCTTTACTAATACGTCACATTTTATTGGTAGCTCCAGAAAAAATAGAATTACTTCCAAAACATGCTTTGTCATATAAATGACGTTCCCAAACATATTTTCATAATTCAATTTTCCTGGTTTTTTCTGATATTGCATGACACCAAGGAATTCCTGCATGCTTTGACAAGTGAAAGAAGCTAGTGGAATTTGGAGGCTAAACATTGTATACTGAACGTTATTCAAGAAGTTTGCAAGTGTGTTTTAATTTGCATTTTATTTTATTTCATGTATGACAAATATATAAATAAATACAAATATACGAGGGGTGATCAATAAGTAATGGACGCTTTTTTACACAGATACTTTTTATAGATCAATCCCTTTGATTTTCCTACCAGTGATACATCATTCAATTATCTATCAATTCTGAAGATTTGAAGACAAGATATATAATACATATTGATATATCCTTATTTCCGTGAAGGAGGTACAGGTACCCCGGGACTGAAATTTACGTCACATATTCAGATTTTAGCCAGTTTGGTAAATTTCAGTTAGATTTGAACGTTTTATATGCAACAAGTGTTGTGTTGTTTAAAAAATTTTGCTGACTGGTAACACATAAACAGAAAGTATTGTAATGTCAGAATGTTGTATGGAAGGGGTTTGCAGGTCAATTTGAGAAAGCATTCAGTGGAAGAAAGGGGTGGTGAGAGAAGGGAACACCCTACTCCATATGGACAAAGCACCTGCCCAAAGATCTCAAAATGTTCAGAAAACAATATCCCTGGACCTCAAAATTGAGCCCTTGGCCAATGCACCATATTATCAAGATCTGCTCACATGTGACTTGTTTATTTCTATACTACTTATTTCTATAGAGAAAGGACGCAGGTTTATTGACATTGATGAAATAAAACAACCCGTGCAACTGCATCTTGCTACCATGTCAGAGAATGGATTCAGCGTTGTCTCACAATCTTGAGTTAAGAGGATGAGGAATTGTGTACATGTAGCACTTGATGGAAGCTATTGAGAGGGCCCTGTGGAATGAATGTGGCATGAATACCACATAGTGATGATAAAATATTCAAAATTATTATATTATTACTATGGTATAACAAAATGGGGTAATTCATGACCATAATGGTTTGTTCTGTTCAGCCTGCATTCAACTGCATTGCATGTTAAACAATCTAAAATAGCTTCAGAATATGTGACGTAAATGTCGGTCCCGGGGTACCTGTACCTCCTTCACGGAAATAAAGATATATCAACATGTAATATATATATTGTCTTCAAATCTTCAGAGTTGATAGATAGTTGAATGATGTATCACTGGTAAGAAAATCGAAAGGATTGGTCAATAAAAAGCATCCGTGTAAAAAAGCGTCCATTACTTATTGATCACCCCTCGTAGTACTATCATTTCATTTCATAAAATAATTTCAAAAGAATTCAAAATTTAAGCATGAATATATATTGTTCATGTACTAAGGCACTGTATGTAAATAAGCATTTTGTAATTGGCATTAGTAAAACAGTAAAACCTGTTAAATGGAACACCTCTGAAAGTGGAAGACTTCTTAATGTGGAAGATATTCAAAGTTCATTCACTAATTAACTCTTTATGAGTGAAACTCTGTGAATAGAAAATTGGTTTGAGGTATCAAAAGTGTTCCACTTACGGGTACATGGATTTACTATATCATCATGTGTTAAATCTAAATTGAAAAATTACATTTCTGAATATGCAAGTACTAATTAAAGTACTATACATATCACATATGAATGAATACCATGTATGAATCACTTATATGAGAATCATATATATAATTAAATGTTTCATGTGTCTCATAAGCCCAGTTTGGGCTGGGTATTTTGTACAATAGGTGACACTTTAATAAAATAAATAAATGTATATACTCAGTACTAATACTCAGCCTACACATTCCTCCTTCACCTAATCCTGAATAGCTTACATTAAATTCATTACATCCTCCGATCACAGGGCTTCAAAGTCCAGAATATATTCTTTCTTTTTACCCCCTGCGATAAGCAGTTAGCATTTCCCCGATTAAGAACTCACAATCTGATTGGCTGTCGCAACATTGCGACAGAAATCATGTACAGGTCACCAAATTGGTTATAGCAGGGGGAAGAAGGAGGTATGGATTCTGGATACCTGCTTAGGAGGATGAATTCATTACTACTGCAGTAAAACTTTTTGAATACAAACACTACTTGGAGTGGCCAAAAGTGCTTGGACTAGCATGTGCTCACATTTCAAAATTTCTCAAATTATACGTTAACTAACAGGAGAAAAAAATTGGGACTGAGAAAAAGTGTTCACATTGTGATGTGTTGAGATGAGGACATATGTGCAGGTATACAGGTTTTACTGAAGAATGTACTTTTCAGAATTCTACTAGTTATAAACACAAGGCATTAACATGACAAAATGTCACCACCTAGTTGCTCACAGTATGATTAGTTCAATCTAAGGCAGATTTGAATTTCTGAGAACTCTGTAGATGATTTTGAAAAAATGGTCAATTTGAAACAAGTTTTTTTACCCTGAGGAGGTAATTGAAGGTGAAATCTCAAATCTAAAGTCAGATTTGAACTTATGAGAACTTGAAGATGATTTTGAAAAAATTGGTCAATTTGAAGCCAGATGAAAAAATACCTTTTTTTATTTACCTTGAGAATGTCATTGAAAGTCAAATCTTAAAGCTAAAGTCAGATTTGAACTTCTGATAACTTGTAGATGATTTTAAAAGAAATTTTGGTCAATTCGAAGCAAGTTGAAAAAATACCTTTTTTAATCTTTTTTTGACCTTGAAAAGGTCATTGAAGGTCAAATCTTAAATGTAAAGTCAGATTTAAACTTCTGAAAACTTGTAGATGATTTGGAAAAAAATTGAAGTCAGTCTAAAAAGTATTTGTTAAGTTATTGGAAGTTTTAAGAATTTGTTACAGACGCCGATCGCCAACCACGAACTGCTGCCACAAAAAACGGAGACCATAACAATATGTCACCACTTCTTGGTGGTGACATAACAAGGCACATTAAGTCACCTAAAATCTAGTGACTGTCTTATAGATTATCAGACATTCTTCATCCTAGATATGAAGCAACATTATTTTGCCACCACAGGGATTTGTTACTGGCCCCCTCACTGAAGCCCCACTAGCAATAAATAATTATATTCCAAACTATCTTTATAAAGCATTTACAGGGTGGTCCAAAAAAAGTGAACCCCTGCAACAGGTATGAAATACAAAAGCCATACAATTGATTCATAGAGAATGCACTGTCTAGAAATAATCATAAGGATTATATACATCATGTTATTTATCCATTGAAGTTAAACAGATTTGTATAAAAGTTCACTTTGCATCCGCCAATGACCACTGTAAAGCTTATCATGATTGCTATAGCACAATTTACTGAAGTGGATACATTGATTGAAGATAAAGTTGACTTCATATGCGCCATCTATATAATTATCTACATAAATTGCATTGAAGTTCATGTATGATTGCATCTGTGCTGATTGTTCAGATTTTAAATTTTTAAATCATAATTTACACAATGATTTGAATATTCAATGCACTTACATGAGTTGATAACCATTTTTGAATTATACAAATCACAATGACATACTTTTCTTCCTGTTTTTCAGATGTAAAATGAATGCAATTAACAAACATGGCCACTATGGTGTTTAAACTGCTTCTTTATTCGGTACATTAATATTCCATAAATACCAAATAAAACAAACAATTTACCAAACCTTTACCCAATCTATCGAATGTTTTTTTTATTTTATCAAATGTAATAATCTAAACAATTTATATTCGCTAAATAGTTTCACTTGTTCTTTGTATTGACATTCACATTTGATATTTATACATGTATTTGTGTGATGCAGCGAATCAATTTGTTTTCCTTAACGCACGTATAATTCAATTAATTATTTGTACATTCGGTATTTTAATTATTTATATTCGGTAAATACCGAATGCCACATTCGATAAATTTCGTTATTTTTCGATAATTTACGAGACTTTCAGTCACGTGATATATTTGTACGATGAAGAATAGCTGCGCGACCATTTTGCAAATCTCGAAGTCATGTGACAAAATATCGAACAACAACGCAAGTTATCGAATATTACGTTATTGCATTCGGTAAATAGCAAATTAGCTTTCGGTAAAATGCATTAACTATGTCATAGAAAAATAAACCTTTTGGTAAATATAGGCAAACTTATTTCGGTAGGGTTCAAATAGAAATTCAATATTGTGCATATAATGTGTTACTCTTAAGGAATACCATAACAATTTACGCAAAAATATAATTTAACGAATGAAATATGTAATTTAATGCACATAGTATTAAGTGATTGGCTATTTTGAAAACTTAATTTGCTGTAACAAACATATAAACGTTTTTACCGAATGGAAAAATGATTTAGCGAATATAAATGTTTCATATATCGAATATATTTGAATTTAATGAATAAAGAAGCAAAAATAAAGCCATAGGCCACATCGCAGTTATAGGATTTTATAGGAAAAGGAAATTAGAAAGAATGAAGTGAAGACCCAGGTTTCCAAAACATAGATACGAGCCTGTTAAATAATATATTATGACATTGGTGACGCAGAGACATATAAAACAATGTTTTATATATCTCTGGGTGACACTTACATAATCTACCAAAAACCATACCATTTGTTACAATTTCAACAGTTAATCATGACCACTAAAGGTGGTCTCTTGAAAATTTCAGACTACATCAACAAAAAGTACAGTTCTTACTGTTCGCTTTCTTGATGAGAACCTGGAATATGTACTGGAAAACTAGAGTAAATGTTACCATGGCGAAATCATGAGCACCCCCATGTAGAAAAGCAGGCATGGCTCCTATTAAACTTTCAAGCCGTGGATAGAGCTGTCCAACTTTGTCAGGCTCATAGTGCATTAATAAGAGCACAACGAAATCATTGAGAGTGTCAGAACACGAAACACTGTTTGATGACTGTAGCCTTGAGAGACCAGAACAGATACTCCTAACGCAGCGTGTTAGGATCTGTAGCTGTTGCAGAGGGACAGCTTCACGCAAGAAGTCATCCAGACAGTCGAAAGCATCTTTGAATATCTCAGTAAAAGTAATTTGCGAAATATCAACTTTCTTTGATTTACTTACACTTTGTTCATGGTGGATTTTATTTTTTTCGATTTCATCATTTTGGATTTCATCGTTTTGGAATGAAGTTGTTTTTGTATTGTGAATGGCAAGGTCAAGAGCATGTACATCAGTTGTAGCTGACCCTGAAAAATCAATCATTTCTGTTTCATCTGAAGCGTCATATAGTTTCCCAGTTCTTTTTATACCTTTACATCGAGTTGATTTTGGTCTTATTCGCACTACTCCCACAATATTGGACTGACTCGTGGCAACATTTCTCTTTCCTGGTAAATAGGAGAGGTCCTTATATGGACGTAGTTTATTCAGTTTTACATTTATCTCTGTACGAAATTTCCCGATTGGAATCTTTTTGGTTACACCCTCTACTGTTGAGTTACACTCAAGATTTTCCATTGTTTTCTGTCTACCATCCTCTAGGATTGCTTTTTCGAAAGGGACCATCAAATCATAAGCCTTACTTTCCAAATTTATATCCTCAATGTTAATAGATCTTAGAGACATTGTGTCATATGAGACTTTACGTGGTAAGATAGGACTATTTGGAGAATCTATTGGAGAGCCGTCTCCACTACCTTGGAAGCCACTGTCCCTCAGTATCGGATCACGGCTCAACAATTCCAAAATCCAAGGTTCTTTGATATCAAGTTCCTCCAATGTTAACAGTGGAACCTCCTTCTTGAGATTTCTGCTTGTGTCAAAGTAGATCTTCTGATAGACAATGTTCAGAAGAGGACCTGCTATTTCATAGAAGTGTGATTCATAGCAGAGCCACACCTTTTCTATATTGCTCTTTGCATTGCTGCTTTTCAATTCATTCAGGATCATATTGGTTATTTCCTTGAAGTGATCATTTATTTCACACCTGAGTTTCATCATTGATTCCTGTAGAGGGTTCCTGGCATTGTCATATACAAACACATAATCATGGTCATCACCTGAGATGGGTGTTTTCTCAACAAGATTATCATATGCCTCATGTGCTAAATCAGACTCACGCATGTCAGGTTTGGGGTCATTAAATGCAAGTTGCTTTTCCATCATCCACAATTCAGCTTTTTCAAGACTTGCATTACAAGTCAAAGAAGACCTCCACAAACCGTATGGTTCATCGAGTGCGATACATTTGCCTTTGAGCATGTCACAGAAAGTTTGGTGACATTTTCCAATATCCGATTGTTCATTGGTCACAAATGCTGCGACCTTCTCAGAGAGGGTAAGCCATTCAAGGGGTAGACTGGAGTGTCTTAGAACATCTGTAGACCGACGGCTCCTAGATTTGTGTATGTCGATTCCTTCTGTTGGTTCCCCTTCTTTCAGTTCTTTAATAGTGGCCTGAAGAGCTTCACGAACACTCATCATAAGGAGTTTATTTTCCATCAGTTCATGCATGTCTTTCTTACGTTCTAAAATCTTTTCCTCAATCCCAAGATATATCTTATGGAATTGATCGTACCTCATCTGTGATGGTTGTGATCCTTTCGTTAACTTTGACAAACAATTTGTCAAGAACGACACTTTCCGTTTCATTTCTTCCGAAGCTACTTTCAGGTTTTCTCTTGACATTATCAGATTTTCATACACATCTTGGACATTATTCCTTATTTCACGTTTTTCACTGAGTTGTGATACAGTTGAATCTGGAATGGTATTTTTACAAGTCATTTGTGCCTTAATCATGTCAACATCAGCCTGGCAACTGTCCAAATCATCTCTGGTCTTACAAACATCTTTAACGAGACTTGTCTTAAGTTTAACCATTACCATTTCAGGACACTTTGTTACGTCAATCTCACCATTCTGATATCCCACAATCAGTTTTTCTCTAAGATTCTTGAGAGTTTTTTCATCAATTTGAATTTTACCATCTAGTTTTGTAATTTTCTCATCTGCCTCGGCAATATAGTTACACTGAATTTCTAAAGCTTCTTCAACTTTCTCAAGGTCATCAGTCCGTAGTTTAACAGCAGGGAGAATGTGAGTATGGAGCAACTGGATCACTATATTGTGAAGCTCTGAGCGGGTAATCTTACGTTTATTGTTGTTGATTATTGCCAATTTGGCTTTATCGAATAGCTCATCTGGATTTGAGGAGTAGTCGTAACATTCGCCTCCAAGGAAAAGACTCGTCCTGTAGGTAGACACCCTTCTTTCAACATCTGCAAGTAGAATGATATTGATAAATGTTAGCTCTTGTTAATTATTAAGGTAAACACCCATATCATCGAAAGGCAAGGGATTTACATGAGAAAATGTCACCACATTGAAATGTATATGTTACTCAAACAACCAGGTCCTGGTGTAAAATGTACAGTTCATTTAGTAATACATGCACAATATGAGCCTTTTTAACTTGATCCATTGGCAGGCTCATAGCCAGCTTTTGCCAAGGGGGGTTCACTCTTTACAAATTCCAGGGGGGTTCACTTTTGGCCACTTTTGAAAGGGCTCAGGATGGTTAAAACTGCATGATTTTAAAAGAATTTAGTTTGGGAGGGGGCTTCACTCAAACCCATCGAACCCCACCTTCTTATTGGTATAGTGTCATTTCAATAACAAGGCATTAACATGACATGAGTTCAATCTTAAGTCAGAGTGGAATTTCTGAGAACTTGTAGATGATAAAGAAAAAATGAATTGGTCAAATTGAAGCAAGGTGAAAAAAGACCTTTTTTGAACATAACAGCATAAGAAGGTCATTGAAGGTGAAATCTCAAAGCTATAGTCAGATTTGAACTTCTGAGAACTTGTGGATGATTTTGAAGCAAGATGAAAAAAAACTTTTTTGATCTTGAGAAGGTCATTGAAGGTCAAATCTTTTCAACCTTGAGAATGTCATTGAATGTCAAATCTATAGTCAGATTTGAACTTCTGATAATTTGTGGATGATTTTGAAAAAAGATTGGTCAATTGACCTTTTGCGATCAGAATTCAGGAATTTTGTTTATGGATACTGTTGTCACGTATTTCGTCTTTTTGATGTGACGTCATATAGAAATGATATTAGACATGATGGAATCACGAAATGGCGGACACGTGGCAGTTTTGAGCTAAAAATATTGTCGTTTCTTCTATGAAAACCATGGGTCGGATATTTACCAGGTATGCCGATTTGACTAGATCATGAGTATATCTATATATGTGCGAAGTTTGGGTGAAATTCATACTAAACATCGATGCCTATAAGCGCCCCCCATTTTTGTCAAAATCGGGGGGCGCTTAACCGCTATGTAAATCATGTCAGTACGATCTTAGACTTGGTATGTGCTTAGGATGAATGTTGATCTAGTCAAATCGAACGCTTTCGTGAAAAATAAATCAATAAAAGCACGAAATATAGAAGATAAACTCTCAAAACCAAGCATCTAAAGCTGGATGGCCTAATTGTGACGTCACTAAAATATAGAATCCATTCGGTGATCGCAAATCATCAATTTGAAGCAAGTTGAAAAGAGACCTTTTTGACCTCTTTTTGACCTTGAAAAGGTCATTGAAGGTCAAATCTTTCTTGACTTTGAAAATGTCATTGAATGTCAAAACTATAGTCAGACTTGAACTTTTGAGAACTTGTAGATGATTTTGAAAAAGAAATCTGTCAATTTGAAGCAAGTTGAAAAACAGCCTTTTTGACCTTTTTTACCTTGAGAAGGTCATTGAAGGTAAAATCTCAAATCTAAAGTCAGATTTGAACCTCTGATAACTTGTAGATGATTTTGAAAAAAAGATTGGTCGATTTGAATAAAGACCTATTTGACCTTAAAAAGGTCATTGAAGGTCAAATCTTTTTTGACCCTGAGAATGCTATTGAATGTCAAAACTATAGTCAGATTTAAACTTTTGAGAACTTGTAGATGATTTAAAAAAAGAGATTGGTCAATTTGATGCAAGTTAAAAAAATACCTTTTTGACCTTTTTTGACCTTGAGAAGGTCATTGAAGGTCAAATTTTAACTATAAAGTCAGATTTGAACATCTGAAAACTTGTAGAAGATTTTGAAAAAAATTGAAGTCAGTCTAAACAGTATTTGTTAAGTTATTGGAAGTTTAAGAATTTGTTACAGATGCCAACCGCCAACCACCAACCGCCGTCAAAAAAATCAGAGACCATAACAATATGTCACCACTTTTTGGTGGTGACATAAAAGGGCATAATTATATTAAATGAGTTTTCAAATTGTAGCATGAACCTTGAATAAGCATGACATATACTAGATGTAGTATTTAATGTTTTTGATGTCAAGTATGTTCAATTTGAAAAGTGGATGGTCATCATGTTTCAAAGTCACATTTACAAAGTTACTCGACAATAATTGAAATATCAAACAGTATGCCAATTCATAATGTCATTTTGAGGTTGAGACTTGACCATATAGTATTAGCTCCCATCAGGCTTTTCAAATTTTGATGTCTATTTATAATAATTAGACAGCTTTATTGAGATTGTTCTAATAAATGAAAACATTTTTTAAATGTTCACATTTCAGCTTTTAAATTACAAATATTTGCTTTGGAATGAGTTATTCATTGTTGTATGTACTTGGCCACCTTATGTTGATCAAATGAGGTAAAAATCAGTAAAATGAAAATGAAACCAAACTTAATTATTGTGACTGATCGTATAATTTGACTCATAAAAAGGATGGGGCGGAGAGTCTAATTATTTAGCTCAATATTTTGAAGGTTAGTTTGACTGTACTCCAAAATAATACTAGTTTAAATATATATATAAAATTAAACCTTTACAACTTATCATATGAACAGGCATTTCTGCCCCTTTTTATTTTCTTTTTGGTTCTAAAAAAACTTGCAAAAACCTGCTTATCTTTTGCTAGGTTCCAGAATAGTTTGAACGTAAGATAAGGCATTTATACTGTATATTGGTATACAGGGAAGCAAACAACTTGAATTACAAGATATTGAATGACAGGTCACAATGCCTCGTTTACTCATGCTATATAATTCATTTTTACTTAATTCTATATTGAACAAGTTTTGTGAAACACTTCTTTTATGTATGTTTCGTTTATGACAAAAATGACTTGTGAAAAGTATTTGGTAATACATATCTTGCTTGACATTCACTCTTTAAGGTACAGCTGGAAAATAACATTTTGGAAAATGATCGCTATACCTGCACATGTTATTTTCTGGTACAAAATGAAGATGTGTTAATTTCCTTGATTTTTTCAGGAAAGTATCGTTACATCATCTACCTTTTACTTTTAATCTCCAGATTTACTAAAAGTAGACAATGTAATGATACTTTCCTGAAAAAAGCAAGGAAGAACAAAAAGCACTAAAATCATATCTGACTCATATGACATCTTAAAAATAATATCCCATTATTTTAAGTCCACACAAAAATAGCAATCATAGGATAAATATGATATCCTATGATTTCTTTTGGCTATCATTTTTATCCACTCTTGGATTCACTCATCTCCAATCATTAGCTGCACTCACTCCTGGAGATGGCCATGGGTGATATCCACTCATGGATAAAATTGGTATCTCTCAAAAATCATAGGATATTCTCTATATAAATGTGCTATCTTAAACTGTATGCCAGATCAATATAACAGGGACCAATATCTTGAACTCTTTATTCAATGACTGAAATATAACTTCTTCCATATCAAAGCCCTCTTAGATTATTGGCATAATTCTAAACTGGATGACAAAATGAAGTTAATTATAGTTTAAAAAAGTTTAAAAATATTTTATTTCCGTGTCACAGGTTTAAAAACTACATTCAATATCATATAATAAATACTTTTTTTTAAAAAACCCACCAGCCGGCATCGGCTTAGGAGACACCATTAAATGTATATCTAATTGTAATTGAATATTGACTAGAGTAAGTTGACTTAATAGAGCACTCTTAAATCAGAACATACAAGTTTCAGCAAAATTGGCAATTTTTTAGTGAATTAGAAAGAATTGTATATTTCTTCAATTTCAACTAATTTTTTAAAACATCAAAAGTTTGGGTCATCTGCCACCATTGACAATTTTCGTATCAAATGTGTAAATCTCAGTACACTGAAAATGTGAAAAAAACTCTATCAACATTCAAAGTATGATTTGGGTACATGTATCTCTAATTTCCTTGTGCAAGATAGGGAAAAGATTACCAACTTCTTTAACAGAGTTTCATTATCAGTAAACAAGAGGAAATTTTCCCCTACTAATTTTACTCAAATCAACTATTGTTTTAGGTAGTTACAAGTTTCAGACTTTAACCATAAATCCTAATTAAACCCTTTATTGTGTATACATTTTATGTACATTACCCAAATAGATTTCATCAAAGTCCTTCCCCATAAAAAAGGGACAAAACAAAACAATTAAGTTGGTCATCCCAGGTTCTAGCAGCCATGCACATAACCTTTAAATATCAGTGGCTGAGGCACTAAATTCTGGAGAGTCAAAGTAGTAAATGTGACTTAAACAAAGCAATCAAACAAGCAAACAAACAAACAAACAAACAAACAAACATACCATCTGAAGTGAGAGTATCCTCAATGACACTACTACTACAGGACCCTGACAGTTCATCCGTCCCCCACTTTACGATCCTGCGGTTGCAATCAATGCAAACATTGTCCAATACGAGCACTTTGAACCAAACAGCAGGCTCTAGTCTTACAGGTGTGCCATCCTTATCACTGACCCCAGGCCCCTGAAATCATAAAAAGCCATCCTCTCAAATATCACAACCTGGTAAGTTATTGGAATGTCTACAAAAGTGTTCTTAAATTGTTGCATAGGCCAACTGAAAAATGATAACTAATAAGTGGTTCATAATATGCCAGTCTTAATAAAAACTGGTGGCTAGATGTCACCATTCTTGTTGATGACATAAAAGTGTTTCATAATATTTCAGCTGAAATAATGATCTATTGTCTCAAGCGCTAGACATAACAAAGCACTAACATGCAAAATGCCACCACCTGCTATTTGCTACAGATGCTGAGTGGTGAACACCGACCACCTAATGCCAAACACCAACTACCAAACACCATCCACAAAAAAGTTGGAGATCACTTGTGGTTGTGACATAAAGACATCATATAGTGGAAACCCAACATGCTCTAACTTATTAATTAATTTTGAATCAGGAAGGTTATACAGAATATATGTTACTTGACTCTTTATCTCTATTAGGCAGTGCTGCATGTGATACTAACACTCTGATACAAGTAGTACATCTCAGTTAGATCGTAAAGCACCACCCACTTTTACAATAAAATCTCCATTTTTACAAGGCCACAATTTCTACAAGGCCACACTTAATTTTATGCCCTCGCTTTAAAAGTGGCACACACACAAGTGTTTACGCTTTCTAGACTCATTTTGAAAAATTGTGAAGTGCCCTTTAAACCAATCAAAAATAGTTATTGAACCTTTAACGCAAAATATGTGTAAGCCTGTACTAAACTGGTTACCTCACCCTCTGGGATTAACGAGGAAGTTGATAGAAATTATAGTACAGTATCGTTTTATCAATTTCCTTAATTTTATTTCCTGCTTTAGTTTTAATCATGGATGACACAGTGTTTGAATACATAAAACCTATAAAAACCTTAATTTCTGTGAACATCGGTCCTGTTTTGTTTTTTCTATTGACTTCTGCCAAATATTGAACAAGGCATTAACATAACAAAATGTCACCACCTACAGTAACTAGTTGCTCACCATATTATGAGTTTGGTCTTCTCCGATTTGAACTTCTGAGAACTGTATATGATTTTGAAAAGAAAATTGGTCAATTTGAGGCAAGTTGAAAAAAGACTTTTTGACCTTTTTAGCTTGAGAAGGTCATTGAAGGTGAAGCCTTAAATTTAAAGTCAAATGACCACAGAAGGTATCACAACAGATTTCAGACAATCAGGGCGAGATATTTCACTCAATCTATTTTTCACGTCTAGGAATAAACATAAATAAAGTTCGCACCAAAGTAACATCATTACTGATGTTTTGATACCATACATGACTACACATTGTGGGCTCTGCAATCCTTTTCCAAAACGACACATTAAATTCCCTCGAAAAATAATTTACTTTAACAAATACAAGGATGTACCTTGACTGCAATTATTAGTACAGATGTGAAAACAATGTAGTTAGCAAAATATACAAGGTATATAAAAAAGATTTAAATGCCACTGAATGGGCTCTTTTGGAGTTTCTTGTTGGTATTGACACAGAGGTGGTTAAATAAAATGAAGATTTTGCATTAGGTAATGTTTATCTTTTACTCTGCGAGGACAGTACCACCCAAGTTGTGAAGATGAACCAAGTTGCTTTTTATAACTATCATGTTTCTTGTTTACTTCAAACTTACATTGAAATTAACACATTTTCAAGAGGGGGCTGTTTTGATAAATAGATTCAACATACCAAAAAGGAAAGCATAACTCAACTGATAATGGAAATATTATTTACAAGGCAGGTGCTTGTTTAAATCTGTCCTGAGTTACAGGTTCTCTTCAATCAATTGTAAAATAAGCATCATTATCTCTGAGTTACCTCAGAAATGCTCAATTCGCACATGATGCTAATATTAAATCATAAAAACCTTTTCTATGGACATGGTCTGATAGACAAAATGTAAAATAACAACATATTTAATCAGAAGGTATTATGCAACATGGGTTAAAAAATTGTGGTTTTTAAATTTTCTTAGAAAAATAGCTTGCTCCAGTAAACAAATCTCCTGTTCCTAGAATGTCCTGCTCTTTGTTTATCAATTGTAAATTGTCAAAATTATTTCAAGCAGTCATTTCAGTTTGACCTTTAAAATGGTAATTTACAGAGAGTTTTTATGACATGAAGTATGTCAACATAAGGCTGATAAGCTTCTTATATTGTCTTTGACATGGTATCTTTATCTTCAAGAACTATTTCAAGAGATAATGATTTAAAACCTATTATTTTATTGACTTTTATGTTGATCTAATCAACTGACTCCACTGTTCCATGTACACCTTCAATGTGATCACAGGCATTCTTACCTTGATCGTAGAATCTACTATACAAAATGTATTGTGTATTTGGTCCAGATAAAGCAAACATTATTGGAACTGGTTAGCATTAATCCAAGAGCAGTTTTCACAAATACAGCGATAACCAGACATAATAATAACATTTTTATACCCCTTCAGCACTCTCTCTAGAATTTTTTGTCAAGTGGGTGCAAAATTCTCATTTTCACAATTCACTACAAATTTGGTCAAAATATGCTCATTTTTCATGATTTGTTTCATTAAAAAATAGGTGCAAGTGGATTTTCAGGTGGGTGCATGCCATTCTTTAAAATCTAAAGTGGGTGCTGTCGTGTGCCCACTTTCTTTATGCTGGGGAGATCATTGCCTCTCTTGAGTACCTAACAATTGATCCCAAATACAAAATTACTCAGTATAAGACGTGTTAACATTTGAGGCATTGAGAGGCACACAGAAAATGCAATTCACCATCTAATTAAAAATTTGGTAGGTGTAGTTTTATTTTGTCATCGGTGAATGTACTTTCAATACTTCTTTGTCACCTGCAAATAGGCTCATCTCACTCAAAGCTCTAGTTTTGCAATATTATGGGGTTAACCAAAGATTTTTTGTTCAAAATCAAAATATTTCTTTGTTTAACACATTTTAGATACAGGCTGTCCAACTGTCCCGCAATATGCGTATTTGTCACACATTTGCTGAAAAAAGTCACGCCAGTTTTTTTTTGCGTGAAAGAATATGTCATGCAAATACGCATTTTAATTGTCAAGCAAAAATTTATCTGCAGAAGAACTTTAAAAAATAAAACGCTGATACATAAAAAAACGAATGCCGAAAAAAGCGAACGCATTCCATTTTTTGCACCTACCACAGTGTTCATCCAGTGTTATTGGGCGATAAATGGGATATAGCATCGATGTCTCTTACACTGGCTTGTTAGATCAATTAAGACCAAAAATGACAATGTAATAGAGGTTGGATTAGATTGCAGCGTACCATTCTCCAAGATCTAGTAATTATAAATCTTATCCAAATATTACACTGGGTTGCAGTAACTACTGTATAATAGGTACAGGTAACTTAGTTAACAAAACTTGAGGATTCAGAGAATAATGAAATTTGAATTTGTGATTGTGGTGGCTGTCAATTTACAACTACATGTATGAAATGTTTTCTGAAGTCCTTGGAATGTGACTACTATTTTTTTCATGGCCTGAGTTCGTCGCTAACATGCTAAATATAAGAGTTAGCTGACGTTTGGGAGTCTGACTTACCTTCTAAAGGTTAGAACCCGAATCTTAATGAAACCATATCACCTTTGTTCCGTCAACCATGGAGCATTTGCCACAACATCCAAGAGGTAAATCATTGACCGTGAAAATGAATGATTTCCTTGTAAGTTCCGGAAGTTTCAATACGAAAAATTACCGAACATATGTGAAAACCGAGTATTTGTTCGTTGTTTTCACGATTTACAGGTTCGTTTGTTCTCCAATGTTTTGGTCTAAATTATAAAGCATCACCAACAGGTCTTACTCTATTAATCGACTAATACAGCAGACGGCTCATATTTCTACGTAGCATTTCGTTCAGACCAATAGTGGGAGAGCAGATCACGCAGTTTCGGACGTTTCGTACTTCACTTGCAATTGGTAATTTTAAATATTGGCTACTTCACTTAGCTTGGCGGATGTAGAACATTGCTTAATATTCTTTTAATTTTCACACCAGACTTGGTTGACACGTCAACAAAGTAAAGTTCAAGGGTCAATGCGTTATTTCGTGATAACTACAACGCCTTCCCGGAAGTCAATATTGATGAAAAATGAAAAAGTCGGAAAAGCATTTACACTAATTTCTATCAAATGCTGTGTTTATGCATCATCATCGACGCAACAAAGGTAATATGGTTTCATTAGGATTCGGGTTCTAACCTTTACAAGGTAAGTCAGACTCCTAAACGTCAGCTAACTCTTATATTTAGCATGTTAGCGACGAACTCAGGCCATGAAAAAAATAGTAGACTAACACATTGGTAGGTGAGGAAACACTTTAAAAGTATTAAAGCGTTCACAGACTACCAAATAAAACTACAACACATACCCGTGTACCCTGCGAAAATATGCATTTCCACACCCTGATAGGTAAGGGATGGAATCATAAAAGTTCATTTTCACAATCAATTAAAAAAATTCTGAATTATTTAGTACAATGTAAGGAATCAATTACTCTACCGAGCTGACAGAAGCTGTGTTCAGTAAGGAATCAACATCTTGCTGCCAGATTTCTGGCAAAGTCCATGTTATTAATGTGAATGAACTTACCTGTCCGTCAATGGAAGGTAAACATCCATCTTTTAGGTCAATTCCTGACAGGGCAATGCGTTCGCCATCTCCTTTTAAATATAGATACATTCTTATAGATGCGGCTCTCAACTGTCATTTCGTCGACAATGCGTAGCTTAGTTCACGTTCTACGAAATGTACATTATAAACGATTTTTGATGACCGTTAAATACAGGAAATGATAGAAATAATCATGAAAAGTAAAATTTCCTAACTTTTGACGTTTGTTGTGAATCATCGCATGCCGCTTGGTAGTAAATAAACAAAAAGAATGTGATTGTTTCTTGGTTGACAGGAACATCAAATTATTGAAAATAGTTCTGAATGTTGTTCATCTCCATTAATTCCCAATTGCATGATCGTAACAAGAAAGATAATATGTTCCTTTGAGGTCTGCTATTTGTTATTGATATAAGCTAATTGAAAGTTGTAAGGTGCTAGCAACTCTCAGTTTTGAAGTATTTCTATTTTTATTTCTGGATAGATTTATCGATCAAGCAATAGTAATTAAATAACTATGTTCATGAATAAACGTGATCGGTTACTTCCTCTTTGATTGAATATATCCTTTGATAATTTGATAATTACACGTCTGTGTACATACTACGAAATATTTGGAAAATTGGAAATTTTATTTTTTCTTATTTTTTCAAATTTACTGACTTTTCGTTGATGTAGATGTGCCAATATACTAAAACTATTTGATGATATTAAAGGGCTGATACGGTGTATCAGGTAATGTATGAAATTATTATTGTTTTCGTTGATGTTTTCACAGGGCTGCCTGTCAACTTGGGGGAACACCTAAATTAGGTTCAGCTGGAAAGTAACATTTTGGTAAAAAATTGCTATACATGCACAATTTATTTTCTGGTACAAAATTAAGTATGAAGGCATGTGTGTATTTCTTACTCACTTCGAGAGCCATGTTAGATTTCTCCAATGGCACACTTGGACAGCTGAATAATAGTGACCTTTGAAACACGAATTAATCGATCCACGGCTTACTTTTGTTCTCTAACTATGTCATACATCATTATCATCATTCCGTGCAAGTATCGGAGCGCTGAAGTACTTCCTTTTCGATCAAGACTTGTAATTGTTAGTCGAGTGAATGTTTTTTCGTAAATCTCCAGAGGTTGTCCGAATCTAACTCATTCTCAAAATTCATTTTGTTCGTTGCGTATCTCGCTCCTAGTAAACCGCCATATTGGAAATGGGTCGAAAAAACATTCACTCGATGAACAATTTACAAGTCTTTATCGAAAAAGAAGTATTTCAGCGCTCCAATACTTGCACGGATTGATGATACTGATGTAAGACACAGTTAGAGACCAAAGGTAAACTGCGGAAATCTTTATTCATGTTTTAAAGGTCACTATTATTCAGCTGTCCAAGTGCGCCGTAAGAAAGATATTATCTCAAAATCCACATAGCTTTCGCAGGAAATGATTATTTCCTTGCTTTTTTCAGGAAAGTATCATTACACCGTCTACTTCTAGTAAATCTGGAAACAGGTCAATGGAAGCTCCTGTGTTGCTTGGAAACTTTGAAAGAAACTTTGGAAAAATAGAAAGTGTGAAATATCAGAATTTCCTGGAATTCCCATTGAACTCCTACAAATATTCTAAAAGACAATGTAATGATACTTTCCTGAAAAAAACAAGGAAATTGACACATGCCTTCATACATTATTTTGTACCAGAAAATAACATGTGCAGGTATAGCAATTTTTTACCAAAATGTTATTTTCCAGCTGTACCTTAACATGAGTGACTTACAAACAACACCCTGGTTCAAATCTGAACACCTTGGCCCATATTCTGAGCACCTTGGTTCAAATTGTATTGCATAACCAAATTTTGGACACCTCAAATTTTTTGCGTTCAGTCAACGGGGGGTGGGGGGGTAGGTATGAAATATTTCGCGGAAAAGACGTGACATATACGGTATCCGCATGAAAAGTCCAAACGAAATCCTCTTTTTTTTGGCGATTGTTTTTGTGCTGTATCATCAAATTTTCCAGCAAATACTGACAAATATGCAAATTGCGGGACAGTTGGTCGGCCTGATTTTCACATAAGCTTATCCACCCAGAATCTAGACTTAACTGAATTTCAGCTTGCCTGGCCCGCGCGTTATCCAGTACCAGGACTATAGTAAGTCCGAGAACATCTCAATCTTTTGCCTAACATACCACGCCTCCTACACTTAAAATATCTACCTCAATAAATTTCTGAGTATGAAGCTTTCTTTTTATGCAGTTTAATCCCCAATCGTCTGGGTTTATTGGCAGAACGAGGATATTTTCATTTTTGATTGCAATTTTTTGCTTGTTATTTGAAGTTATTTCAATTGTCAAATTCCTCAATTTATTGGTACATCCAGGCTCTGCAGCACCAGTCAATATGGGGATTCCCCTTCTAGATCCAACCGCCATTTTGAAAAATGATGGAATCTCTCTCTATGAAAAAGGAAAATGTCCTCGTTCTGCCGATCAACCCAGACGATTTGGGATTTAAGGTTATTCTTTCCAGAAAACATTTTTGAAAAAATGCTATACCTCTCCATGTTATTTTCTGGTACAAAATAAAGTATGAAGGCATGTGTGTATTTCCTTGCTTTTTTCAGGAAAGTATCATTATATTGTCTTGTTCTAGTAAACCTAGTCAGTGGTCAATGGCAATCCAGTGTTATTGAGAAAATTGGAGAAGAAACTTGGAAAATTGAAAAGGCGACCATTTTTAATGATTTTTCTTGAAATATCAGAACATCCTAGGTTTGCCATTGACCTGTTACCAGGTTTACTTAAAGAAGACAATGTAAGGATACTTTCCTGAAAAAAGCAAAGAAATACACACACATGCCTTCATACTTTATTTTGTACCAGAAAATAACATGTGCAGGTATAGCAATTTTTTCAAAAATGTTTTCTTTTAGAAGTACCTTAACTACTCAAAAAGAATGCTAAAATACTAAGGAATTTATCGAGGTAAGTATTTTAAGTGTAAGAGGCGTGGATTTTCTCCCATGTTGTAATCGTACAGGCAAAAGATTGAGAGCGATCCAGGACTATAGTTCTGGTATGGGATAACAGGGTTCTCACCAGGAAATATTTTTGCAGTATCGCGTCTACTCTTCCCCCATGTGTGATCAGAGATATTCTATCAGTATACTTTTCAAAGTATTACTTAAGAGATTATCTTCCTATTCACAATGTGCATTTCTAAAATGTTTCTGACTTCCTATTCCTTGTTTGTATCCAGTTTTATATATTTTCTCAAGAGTTTTACCACAAATAGTGTGTCACTGTCAAAAATGTAAAATTAGACTCCGGAAAAAAACACTTTAGACTCCGGAAAATCTATTAGACTCTGGAACAAGAAGGTCTAAAGACATGAGACTCAGGTGAATCTCCGGAGTCTAAAAGCCTAGAGTGAGAACCCTGGATAACCTGTGCGCAGAGTCTAGGTATAAACTACCCTCTGCCTAGCATAGACTATATTACTTAAAATACGTGCTCATTAACTATGCGATAATGTCAGAGGAAATGACCAGAGATTTATTGTAAACTGAAAGAGTGTAGACAAAGCTCTCTTTTAAGAAATGAAGTCAAACAAATGCAAAAAGTAGCCTCCACAGGAGACAGGTTATTAAAAATAGATAGGTTAGAGAAGACTTGGCATATTTCCAGAAGTGATTGAAATGCCTTGTGCACAGCATCAAGCCATGTGTAGAAAACTCTATCAATCTTTCTACCCAGGGATTGAAATTTGCATTGCAAAAGTAGTGATTCATTCCTTTATTTTCTTAAATCGCTACCTAGCAACTTACCCAAGTAACGAAAATAGTTATCTGCTATATGGGAAGACTTCTACATGATCGTCAACTCAATTGCTCAAGTGAAAACTTTGAACCCTGTGACCTGACTCTGTACATCTAATTCTACTCCAGCAATTGCAGTTTCAACCAAATGCAGCAACTCAATGATTAAACATTAACAAATCCATACTTCACCTACTATTCATAATATTAGAGTGGCTAATGATGCAAAGAAACTAGTCCTAAACTGTAATAATATATGCATGCATTATATTCTATTCCAAACAGGTCACCCGAGCTTGAATACTGACAATATGGCAGATAAAGATGATGATGAGTTAAACCTGCCAAGAGCTGCCCTAAATAAGATGATTAAAGAGACACTGCCCAATATAAGAGTGGCTAATGATGCAAGAGAACTTGTCCTAAACTGTTGTACAGAATTTATTCATCTGGTCTCCTCAGAGGCTAATGATATTTGCAATAAGCAACAGAAGAAAACAATATCACCAGAGCATGTCCTAGCAGGTAAGAAGAGCTCTGTAATTGGAGGGAGTTTTCTTGCACAATGACCGTCTTAAAATTTGCCAACTTGTATATTGAAATATGCATTAACTGAAATATATAAATGTATCATAATGAAAACAAGGTACAGGAAAGGTACCCTAAATTCCATTACATAAGGTTAATGTTCTTATTTTGTGTTAAAAATGATTCCTCCAATGACCTCAATTGAACAATTAAAAAAACGTAGTTTTCAGTTTTGGCCGCTTCAGTTAACATAAGTGAAATAATATGAGGCTATGACATGTATGACAAATCAGGCCCGTAGCTAGGGGGGTTCGCAGGGTCCCCCCCCCCCTCGGCTGAAAATTCTTTCAAAATTATGCAGTTTTTCACCATTTTGAGCACTTCTCAAGTAATTTTAGCCATATTTGGGCCGAAATTGTCAAATGTGAACCCCCCTGGAAATTTGTGAAAACTGAACCCCCCTCTCCCTTGGCAAATCCTGGCTACGGGCCTGCAAATATCAACTTATTTATTTCAGCATTGGACAGTCTAGGGTTTGTAGGTTATAAAGAGGAAGCACAATGTGTTCTACAAGACTGCAAGGCAGTTGCAGCTAAAAGACGGAGAGCTAGTACACGGTTAGAGAATCTTGGAATCCCTGAAGAAGAATTACTTCGTCAGCAACAGGAATTGTTTGCTAAGGTTTGTAGAAAACATACAGGTTGGGTCAAAAAATGTCAATTTTTAGACATGGTATTTTACCTCAACAATACAATAATTTTGATGAGAATCTCTTATATTTATGAAATTTCTCATGAGCTCTAAGACTAGGGGTATTGGTTTAAAACCTATATGGACAATATATGAACATTTTTAAACCATGGATAACCTCAAGTTGTGATTGCAGGGACTATATCAAACCCAGAGGCATTGTAGAACTGAAAGAGAATTGTATACATAAGGGTTATGTACTAGGAGGTTTTGGATACAGGGTTTATCCCAAGGAAAATATGTCCCGAGGGACCGCAGGGACCGAGGGAGATACACATATTTCCCGCGGGATAAATCCTGTATTCAAAACCAACCGTACATAACAGATGTATTTCATACCTACTGAGGTTTTAGGTACATCATCCCGTATAAAGTTCCAAAATTCCAAAACATACGGTACACGTTTTCTTGTTCTTAAAGATTGTGAGATTTCCCAAAAATTTGAAGAAGAAATTTGAAAAAAATGAAAAAAATGTGAAAAAATTGAAAAAAAATTTTGAAAAAAATTTGAAAAAAAAATTTCAGGTTAATGCTTTTTCGGAAATCAAAAGAATTTTGAAACTGAACCTTTGAAAAGATTCTTGCTTTAGGCTAGGTTATCCCTAACCTCGTAATCCCATTAAAGAGGGACATGGGGTATAAATAGGAGGCAGACTAATGGAACAGCCAAAATAACTGTATTTTTGATATCTTCACAAACCTGGTCAATTTTCTCTAATTTCATATTGATTGTGAAGATGTATTGCTTCTAATTTTGCTATGTGTATCATTCAATGTTTTTAAGTTCATATTCTGCAGTTAGATTTCAACTTCATCATTTTGTTGGATCGTGATAGGACATTTAAAAACAGTAATAACATTTTTCAAATTTAAAAGTCCTCAAGCTTAGCCAATCAAAATCAGGTATTTAGCAATGCTGTTAACTAAACTTCTGTACCATGTTAAAGTGTGGATGTAACCTGATATTTTAATGAGAGTTGCTAGCAAGTTTAATACTGGCCTTTAAGTATTATTGTATGTGTATGCATTTCAGGCACGTCAAGAACAGGCAGAGGTTGAGCAGAGAGAATGGCAGCAAATGCAGCTTCAGGCACAACACGTTGCAGCGCAGTCTGTTCCTAACAAAGACAATGATTCAGTTGATGATGATGATGATTATTCATAGCAAAGAGAATCAGGGTCACAACTCACAACCATTAGATCATTATTCCTGAATTTCAAATGACTTTAATGATGCTTGAATCATGAGGAATATGATTTTTTATTCAGATTCAGGATATTTTTGAGGAATGGCCTCTAAGATGCATCAAAAATATTTAAAACAGACCATTTGTCATATTATTTTCTTTACTTGGATATACATCTTTACAATCAAGAAATTATTACAGTATCTGGTCTGTATTGATTAAATTTTCAGTGCGTACTGAAAAATGTTTTGGGCAAGTGGAAATATTTCCATTTATTGGAAAATGTATGGTGATGAACCTATAAAGCTTAAGGATACAATGACAATATTATCCTGTAGAGTAGATGTACATGTAGGTCTTGATCATTCTTTTAGAAAATATTGAATATATCTTCAGGTGTTATGTTATGAGTAACTTATGATTGGTAATACAGTTTTCTGTAAATGTAACCTTTCTGTAGATTGAATATACATGAAGGTCAAGGAATATTTGAAGACAAATATAATGAAATCAAAAATCCAAGAATATGATTTTTGAATCTTTAATACTGCTCACCATGATGATTAGATTTTAGCAAATCGAACACTCGTTCAAACGATAGTATTGAATACATAGGGGTTATGCACTGGGAGGTTTTGGATACAGGGAATATCCGGAGGGATATACAATATTTATCCCATACTTGGACGTGTTACAGGTACATAAAGCCGGTTTGTAAAAACTTATATTTTCATCAGCGGGCAGATATAGCTATACGTCCCGCTCCGAGCGGGCAGATATACTATATCTGCCCGCTACGTCATAATCGCCGCTCGCATATTTTTTCATAATTTGTAACGTTCGCGTAATGACTGTACACGACAATGGAGAAAACACAGACAATCGGGATCTGTTTGATGGTTTAAAAAATTGAAGGAGCATCCACCTAATCAATCAAAAATTCGAGAAAATAAATGTGGGAACATTTGAGGGAACAGGAGAACCCACCCACGGCCAAGAAAACAAAACTGGGCATGAATATTCTAAAATATTTCCACGATTGAACAATGTGAACCAGATGACCAAGATTGGTATGGGATAAACATATTATCCTATAGTCGGTTCAGGATATTGGGATTATCCCTTGGCCAATATAATGTATTTTCCCTCGGGACCTGCGGCCCTCGGGCAAATATATTATATTGGCCTCGGGATAATCCCAATATCCTGAACCTCATATAGGATAATCTCTATATCTTCTCGAGGGACCGAGGGATATTCCATGTATCCAAACCGACCGTGCATAACTGGTGTATCTCATACTTGAGTGGGTTTAGGGTAGATATAACATTTTCCACCTTTTTCAAATGACAAGATATTTATATTGAACATTTTCGTAATATCACGCGGTAGTATCTTTTCGGGACGTATCGAAACCACTCCGTCCCGAAAAACCGTTAATTTGAATTTAAAACCTACCCCAGTGTTTGAAAATCAAGGATTGTGAGTCTCACATTTCACCGTTTTTCTTCAAACTTGTTCCGTACAAAGCTTCACAGAAATACCTTTCAGTCGATACATTGTTTTCGTGTACAAAGTACCTCTTTTTAGCGGCGTTTTGGTCCCCAGCTGTGAGATAAAGCAAATTTTCATAACTTTCAACTGTAAGTCAAGTTATCTCGCCAGTCTTTTACCCATTCTCGCCCATAATTTCAGAATGGACTCCCATTACAACCTTCCATCGCTACGTCTTGATTTTTGGGCATCAAACGCAGCGGTTTCTAAATCATCCACACATCTCTTCAAATTTGACCAATACGTCCCGTCATCTTCCACTACGCCCCGCCGAGTCTATCATTATACACGAAGAGTTGCATTCTAAAACAATTTGTCCATCGATGTGTCCGTTTGTAGGTTGCCATTGTCGATTCTAAATACCAATCGGATTGTGTTTTAAGATTTACCCATTCTTGTCCATTTTCAATATACCTATAATAGGGTGGTCCAAAATCTCCCTAAAATTTAGATTTCCCGATATTGCAATATAAAGATTTTAATTACTGAACAATTGAAAATATTTTTAAGAAACGTTTAAAGTGCCCTATCCTTGAAAAAATGTTAAAATGCGAAAGGATGGGTGATGCCAATTATATTATTTTCAGCATAACGTTAGAAACATGTATCATTTTATATGGTACACGTTTCATAATGTAATCCAATGGAATCATACAGAAGAAAGGTTGACACACAACAGTTAAAATCTTTATATTACATTATCAGACCAAGTCAGTAGATGTTGTTTATATACCAATTAGTGTTATATGATGATGCATTCTTTATATGAATCTAGAAACGTTTTTGTGCCAATATTGCTCAATTTTGATAACATCTCCGTTATTTTGAAATTAAGCGTGGCAAAGTTTCCCGATGGATTTAGCTAAAAAAAAAGTGGTGCCTGTAGGGTTATTGAAAATCATACATGATGAAGAAAAAATACATATTCCTGAAATACAACAGTTTAATTTTGAGTTATAAACCATTTATGAAAACGGCATATTTGTCAAAAATGATGCAATGAAAATTGAAGCTTTCTGTCGAGAGCAATAGTCATCACAATAGTATAGCGTTTTTTCTTTTACATGTTACTTTTTGTACATCATTGATTGATCCGCTCTAATCTGCCCTCGGCCGATAATTTATAAATTATTTATGTTGAACATTAGCAAAACAAGATTCCAGATTTTATTGTGTTTCAAACCAGACACTTGGTTTCCTCACAAAATCAAATACAGGACAATTACATATAATTAAAGTTAAAAAGCAACATCTTCACAAACATTTAAATTATCAATTTCATGCAATCAGTTATAGTTATACTCCGTATGTATGCTAAACTTAAGACTGGTGTTAAGAATCGACCAAGGCAAACCTATGTTAAAATTACACAACGATGAACAAATTGTTTTAGAATACAACTCCACGTTTGTAGTTATAGACTCGGCGGGGCGTAGTGGAAGGTGACGGGACGTATTAGTCAAATTTTAAGAGATGTGTGGATGATTTAGAAACTGCTGCGTTTGATGCCCAAAAGTCAAAACGTAGCGATGGAAGAATGGGAGTCCATTCTGAAATTATGAGCGAGAATGGGTAAAAGACTGGCGAGATAACTTGACTTACAGTTGAAAGTTATGAAAATTTGCTTTATCTCGCAGCTGGGGACCAAAACGCCGCTAAAACGAGGTACTTTGTACACGAAAACAATGTATCGACTGAAAGGTATTTCTGTGAAGCTTTGTACGGAACAAGTTTGAAGAAAAACGGTGAAGTGTGAGACTCACAATCCTTGATTTTCAAACCCCGGGGTAGGTTTTAAATTCAAATTAACGGTTTTTCGGGACGGAGTGGTTTCGATACGTCCCGAAGAGATACTACCGCGTGAATATTCTTTTTGTTCAATACAATGAAATTGTAACATTTAAACTTAAAAAATTTAAATTTTAAAATTAAAACTTTTGATATTTAAACTTTTTTAAACTTTTGAAAAATTCCCGGGAGCCGGATGGATATATTATATCTGCCCGCAATTGGCCTAGAGCGGGACATATACAATATATCCTGCCCGCTCCTCAGATACGATATATAATCCCGGGTGATATCTACCCCAAACCCACTCAAGTATGAGATACATAGGGGTTATGCACTGGGAGGTTTTGGATACAGGGAATATCCCGAGGGATATACAATATATCTTCCCGAGGGACCGAAGGGACCAAGGGAAGATATATTGTATATCCCAAGGGATATTTCCTGTATCCAAACCGACCGTGCATAACTGTTGTATTCCATACCTGAAAAAAATGAAAAAATTTCCAAAATTTTCCAAAATCTTTTTTCACATTTTTTGCAGAATTTTTTTTTCAAAATTTTTTCAACATTTTTTTCAAAATTTTTTCAGATAATTTTTTTCTTTTATTTTTAGTTTTGCACAAATATGTCTAATTTTTAGAAAAATGAACCAATCTTGTTCATAGTTGGTATGTATGTGCCCATATCTTATTTCCTTACACTGTCAAAGTTTCATGTATATACGCCTACTACTTAACATTTTACGGTTGCTACCGTAACCACGGTGATGACGCTATGGTACATATCATTTGTAAAAGATAACTAGTAACACATAAAGATCAATGTTACTAAGCACGCTAAATTAACTTTCATAAACTGTCAATTTAAATATAAACAATTTCTAGTATTGCTCAATGGAAAATGTGAATCTTATCTTATAATTTCCCAGCTAGTTTTCTTTGGTTGTGTGAAAGAATGACCGTAACCATACTCTTCAAACATCTTGACAAAAAACCTGATTTTTTGACGTTATCAAAGTTCTCATGAATTCAGGAAATATTGGAGAATAATGTATGGCTTTGAATAATAAAGTTGGAGCAGAAAACATTGATAGAATACATGATAAAGAATGGGGAAACAGTGTTACACAAGTTATACTCATTCATGATTAAGACATATTGCATATGATAACACCAATAGGGTCTGCTAAGTATTCCAAGATGGAATAAGAGAAGGGGAATGTATTGAGGGTAGCCTTACTTATGAGAGGGCTTGATATCCTATAGGTAGGATGGTTCAGACATTCGCTTATGGACTGGACGTAATGCTACAAGAAACATACTGAAAGAAAGACTATATGTTAAGTACTGTATATTTAGATTAAATATAAATTAGTTATAATATAACCTGATTAACAGTTAGCTAAAAGAACAACGATTGACGGAATCATTTCAGTCTATAAAGGCATTCACAAAATCAATTCAATCTAATGACGTCATATGTAGGCCATTGGTTCAAATTTTTAAGTCAATGTATCTCAGGAAGTATATTGCTTATGGTCCTGAAATTTCATATAAGCTTGTAAGAAGGGTAATACTATATCTGTATGAAATTTCACATAAAAATAATAAAATCTCTTCTCTTGAGAAGCTGTCGTGCAAGATTTTTCGAACGACCCTTGTAGTGTGACAGTCAAAATTTTACTTGAAATACAATGCAATACCATCAAACATGCTCCCCGTGTAATGCTCTCTGTTATAATATGGTCAAAGATGGTCATGACCATTACAATGTATAATAACATGGTACAGTACTTCAATAATATGTGACGGTCAACTTTGACTATAAACTATTATTAGTCATGATACATCATTTTCATCAAATGGCAAAACGTATATCACTGCAATCGTGATCTCGGTCCAAAATAATTTTACTGCCAATTATGGTTGATCATGGTTTGCGATTGAGTTGTATCGCGAAAAATGTCCGAGAGAGTCGGAAGGAATAAGTTTCAGTGTATGTAAGATGCAATGTGAAAAAAGATACATGGCCCAATAGCATATTTTGCTTCGACTGAACAACTCAGCTGGTCTTAGCATTTCCTCTGTTAAAGTTCATTTTAGAATGTTAACATGAACCCATATGGCGTTTGGTACCTCAATCATTTTTCATATTACATAATCTTTTTTTACCGTGACGTTATTACTTCCAGACTCGTAGAACTTTATGAGGTTTGTTATTTTAAAATCTAAATGGAAGCCTTGTTC